ATTATTTATATATGAGGATTTCCTGTAGCCATTTTATCTTTTGTTTTCTGGTATCTCTGTGCCTCCATTGGTTCTTTTCCTTTGTACTTCTATCTGTTGTTTTTCCTAGTGGTGTTTCATACTTCTTTCCTGTGTGTCCACTTTTTTTAAGCTATGTGTCCTGATTTGGGGATTTTTGTGTGTGGTTACCATTAGGTTTATAAAAAATAAAGTTGCATATATACAATAGTTTTTTTCCTTTTGAGTGTATCTGATGTTCATCCTTTTCCATTTCAGACCTTTACTCCCTCCCCTTTTATGTTTTTGTTGTCACAAATTATCCGTTTATACTGTAAGTTTTCTGGCGATCTTACTCGTAGTGTTGTGACTTTATGTTCTTTGTTTCAGGTAGGATAACTCCAAGTATTTCCCATAATGAAGGTTTTCGGGTGATAAATTCTCTCAGCTTCTGTATGTCTGGGAACATCTTTATTTCTCCTTCATAATTAAAGAATAATTTTGCTGGATACACTATTTGTGGCGGGTAATTTCTCTGTTTCAGATGTTTAATTATTTGGTTCCACTCTCCTCTGACCTGTAGAGTTTCTGCTGAGAAGTGAGATGAAATTCTGATGGATTTTCCTTTGTAGGTCACTTCTTTATTTTCCCTGGCTGCCTTGAGAATTCTCTCTTTGTCATTAATTTTTGACAGTTTTAATACAATGTTCCTTAGAGAGAGCCTCTTTGGACTGAAGAACTATATGTTCTGTTTGCTTCTTGGATTCAAGCATCTTGGATTCAAGTTCTTTCCATGGGTTTGGTAAGTTCTCATCCACTATTTGTTTAAATAGACTCTCCGGTCCCTTGTGCCCCTCTTCTTCTTCAAGAATGCCTATAATTCTAATATTGCTTTTTCTGATGGAGTCAGTTTTTGTAGAGCTCTTCCATTTTTCCTTATGCTCAGGTCTCTCTCTTCTTCCCTCTGTGTCATTTCTAGATTCCTATCTTCAATATCACTAATTCTTTTCTCCATCTGGTTGGCTGTTTTCTATGCTCAGTAGCTCACTCCTAATCTCCATAACTGCATGCTTCATTTCCAGGATTTCTTACTGGTTCTTTTTTAACATGTCAATCTCTTTGGTAAAGTATTCGTTTTGTTCATTGATTTGTTTCCTGAGTGCACTAAATTGTCTGTCCATATTTTTTCACATCTTGTTGAGTATTTTGAGAACTGCAATCTTGAAATCTCTGTCATTTATATCACATATTTCCATGCGTTCCAGCTTGCTCTCTTGGGATTTTTCATTTTCTTTGTCATCATTCTTGTTACCATAGTTGTTCATGTATTTTTTCCTCTTCTTCATCTAGTCATAAATGTCTCTTCTATAGCAGCTTTCTCTGGAGAGGTCTATCTACTATTTTCCAGTAGATGGCACTGAATCGCAAGATTTTTGTTTCCTCTGTGATCTCCCAGATTTAACCTCCAGGGGCTTCTATAAGACAGTACTGTCACACTGCTTGGGGTGGGGTTTATTTTGCCCTCACTGTAATGGTGGCCCTGACCTCCATGGGGTCTAGCCCCAAGCACCAAACCTGGGGATCAGTCATTGAGGAAAACAGGGGTTCTACTGTAATAGCTCTTGTTTTACAGATAAAATGTTCCTCAACACAACACTGAGGGTAACGGGAGGTGAGTTTTGGATGCCCAAGCGACAGTAGGGCTCTGGGATTCCATTTCTTTGTCAGAAATACCCCCACCCAACAGTGGAGAGCCACGAGGCAGAACCCTGAGCTCTGTCAGGCATCTGCTGGCTCAGTCACTGTTCACTTTGCTCAGGGCTGCCCCATGCATCTCTCCCTTACTGCCAGCTGGCTAAAGGAAGCATCTGCTACCACTGGCTTCCTCCCCTCTCCTGGTCATGCTGCGAGTTCCCAGCTGCAGAGCTGCTTCTAAGGTCTCCTCCCTTCTCGCTTCCTGCTTATTCCTGGTTGCCCACCTTTAGATGTTTCAGTGTTGAGGTCTCTCAGGTGTGCCTCTGTGTTGAGTAGGGAATTCTTTGTTGAGCTAAAGTTGGTTAATTTGTTGAAATTTCAGGGGAAGAGTCCAAGGGTATCTCTCACACTGCCACTGCTCTGACATCACTCAATGACTCAAAAATAAAATCATTGATAGTAAAAAGGCAAAGCATAGACTGGGAGAAAATATCAGCAATGCATATACTTGTATCTAAATTATAGAAAGAAATCAATGAGAAAAAGACTAACACTACAATTATATTTTTTTGAAAAACAGGTAAGACTCATATAATTCACAAAGATATATTAATGGCCACTAAGCATGTAAAAAACACGTACATTATTACTCACCAAGGAAATGCAAGTTCAAATCACAATGAGATACTTCTACAAACCTACCAAAATGACTAAAATTGAAAAGACTAGTATTGTCAAGAGTCAGTGAAGATAATTAAAACTCCCATACATTGCTGGTAGAGTATAAAATGGTACCATTTTGGAAAACTGGCAATATACTAAAGCTAAATATGCATCTAACCTGTGACCCACCTGCTCCAGCTAAGAAAAAAAAGTGTGTATGTCAAACAAAAGCCATTCAAAAGAATGTTCATAGGTGCTTTACTCATAAAAGACAAAAACTGTAACAGCTCAAGGGTTGATTAACAGAACAAATGGATAAATTGTGGTATATTCATACAATGAAATAATGTAAAGCAATGTAAAACACAACACTGATACATACAATAAATGAATGTACCTCAAAAACATTTTGTTGAGCAAAGAAGCCACAGATAAAAAACTACATACTATAGAATTCTATTTATAGAAGTACAAGAATAGGAAAAACTAGCTTATAGGTGACAAAATAGTAGTTATCTCTAACAGGAGGTCGTATTGCTGGGGAAGAAGGATGAGAGAACTTTTCTGGGTAATGAAATATGCTATATCTTCAACTGGTGATGTTTATCCAGGTGTATATATTTGTAAAACATCATTGAACCATACACTTAAGATTTTTCACTTTATTATATTTAAATTATACCTCATTTTTATGGGATTTAAGAAAATTTAGAAAATTATACTACCAATTTTGTTTTTTAAAAGATGAGAGACTATTTTAGGCATCTAGTAAACACACTGTATTACAGCACTGTATATAAATTATAGCACCCTGTACTCTTCCTCAGAGCTATTTTTGTTTGAATTTAATGTTTATTTTCTATTAATGTTTGTTTTCCCCATTTAACGATGATGCCTACCCTGCTGTCTGCTTAATCCCCAATACCTGCCACAGTTCCCAGCATACAGAGGGAAGATATGCAATAATCATTCATTCAATCAATGAATTAAGAAGTAGATTTGTCCATGTGAAACAAATACAGTACATGAAGGTTGTATATTTAATTTAATACATGTAAAGTGAATAAAATAATGTTTAGCAAATAGTAATTGATCAATCAATGTTGAGTTAGAAAAAAAAAATCTCCCATGAAGGATAACACAAGACATAAAGTTCCTGACTGATAAATGATAAAGTTGAGCACATGTCATGTGGTTATGCCTTTCAGAGTATGGCACAGTGCACAAAGGGAGCCACAGTAATCCTTTACCTCAGTTATTTTTGTGTTAATTCATTTTAATATTTGAATATACAAATTTAAAAGTCCCAGATCCTTTCATATATTCACTGAGCATTGAGTTCAGTTCTCCTAAATAAAACCACTCCCAATGTCTTGTACATGAAATAACTTCAATGAGATAAAGAGAAATATATCCATAATCCATTCTCTCAAAGGATAGAAAGTAAATCAGTGCACTTGAATATTTTAAGGAAAGGCAAGACATTTTTTTCTAAGACTGGTGAAAACAAAACAGAAAAAAAAGTACAAAAGATCTTATATTTCAAGTCATTAAAATTCCAATGCCTGCTTTAAAATTAATGGAAAGAAGTAAAGACTGTATAAAAGAAGACAAAGTCATTATGCCAATTTAACCTAACACTACAGCAATATTTCCTGAAGAATTAACTGAATAAAGTAATTCAAGGAAGGAACAGCTATTGGAAACAGTTATTTTTTAAATATGTTTTTATTGATTGCAGAGAGAAGAAGGGAGAAAAAGAGAGAGAGAGAAATAGCAATGATGAAAGAGTCATTAATCGGCTGCCTCCTGCACGCCCCCTACTAAGGATGGAGACTGCAAGGGCCCTGACAAGGAATCAAATCATGGCCTCCTGGTTCATAGGTCAATGCTCAACTACTGAGACTGCCAGCTGAGCTAGAAGCAGTTTTTTAAGACTACTCAATCTATTCTGTTTTGGAAATGAATGTCTTTTTAGTATTTTTATTGACTAGGCTTCCGTACACTTTCTTTTTTATTTTATTTAATTACTTTCAAATTGTTTTCCCAGATTGTGCATTTTCTAAGAGTCTGATCTAACCAACCACATTTTGGCCACCTGTATATCTTTTAGGAACTTCCCAATCTATCATCAATGAGTAGGATTATAATGAAATCAGATAATTATTTCACTGTCAGAATCTAATACATATAACAATCAGACACAACTACACCTGAGGCACTATTAATAAATTTTAAAATACATAACAACTTATATTATTCCAGAGGGAAAAAGAAACCCTCTACTATGTACACATGCCAAGTGAAGGCACTTCAGTAGAAATGGACATCTGTGGACTAGTCTAGTCAGCCATTCTACTTCACCAAACAATATTCCTAAGTCACATGAAGTTGCTTATGTTAAACTTGACTAACATAATATATATGCAAAATGTGTTTACTACTCTATTGCTTCTTGCTAAAAAGTGTTATTTTCTATGAGGTCATATTGACATTTAGGCCATACTGACACTTTTAATAAGTTATTCACTTTTCCTGGTTCTTTCTAAAGTTAACTCAAGTTTAAGCCTATAGCTAGTAAAGATTGAAAATCCCTTTGGAATACCTGAGGAAAATTTAAGAATAGTCTAAAGAAGGATACCTACCTCAGGCCCTGTGATGTGCATCAGACCAGAAACAGCAGAGGCCACAGCATCATAACCAGCTCGCTGAGACAATGGACCTGTCTGACCATACCCTAAAACAGTGAGAATAAACATATTCAGTACCACATAAGGAAAGCAGTAGTATGATAGTGTGCTTAGAACCATTTGTTTCCAAAAATCTTGCAGCATTTTGTTACTATTACAATCTATACTATCCCTTGAAGAAGGCAGTAAAAATTAATTATGGTGTTATATCCCAAATGGTTGCAAACTGGCGGCTTATGGACTAGATACCTACACAAATGTTTTGTCTGGCCTGAAGAATGTTTTCAACTGTTTTTATTTCATTTATAACATTTAAAAATCAGAAGATGGAACAAAAAATTAAAATTTCTGGCTTTTCTGAAAAATCAGAAAATAAAAACTAGGCCCACATTCTCACATGGCAACAATCAGAGTTAAGTAATAACACTTCCATTTACACAGGGCATAAATTCTCCAATTTGCCAGTCTCCACCACTCATTCCTTTATGCCTCAGCCTGTTCCACTCATTTAACTTACCTTCCAGACTCCAACAGGTATTTGCTTATTCTTGTTCTATACAAAACAATGTACAAAACAAAACAAAACAATGTCTCCCTAGGTTCTGCTTGCATATTAACTCAAAAAATATATAAATGATGATTAAAATTTTGAGCATGATTAAAATGATTACATCTCTTAACAGTGTTTTTAGATTACAAAGAGGCAGTAAAGATATCACTTTTTTTTTTTGCCATCAGCAAAAATCAAGAAAACACAAAAAATATTTTCTCCTGCTCTCCTCAGTCCTGGTGCTTATTGTTGAATAATAAAGGTTATATTAGAATCTACATGAATCTGTCTCCAAATCCCATGTTTCAATCAGAGAGTGGCCAGATGAAGACCCTTACATACCCATCAGCAACTGGCTAAAATTCCCTGCATACTCTGCTTTAGAAAGATCAGGAAAGAAATGCCTCAAGGTCTCTGTCTGCTTCTCTAGCCACCTGGAATAGTCTCCCTCTATTTTACTCCTTATATCCACATAACACTCCCTTGCATCCTCCAAGTCAGCACTCGAATGATTTCTTACCAGAGGGACCTTCCCTAAAGAACTTTTATAAAAGAGCACTCTCACTTCTCACTCTTAATCACCCTTACCTAATTATATTTGACTTCATAAACCTTATCACCACAAGATATATAACATAAATTTTTATTGATTTATTTTGTCTCCTCCCTACTAAAATGTATAGCCCAAGGAATTTTTTTCTATTCAATTCACTGTTGTATCCCCAGCACCTAGAGTAGAACACAATAACATTTATTGCATGAATGAGTGAATGAATGACTATTTATTACATAAAAAAATATCATTTTAGAAAAACAAATAATCCATAAAAAGTAAATTAACAAAGAAAACAAAGAGGTTTGTTTTTTTCTATTTTGTGTTGTTTTTTTGTTATTGACCAAAATGGCAGCATAGAAGGACATTTTCCTCCTCTCATGGACACAATGAATGTACAGCTACACATAGAGCTTCACTCTGAGAGAAATCCATAAACTACTGAGTGATTTCTACATATTGGGCAAAAGAAAATACCCACATCAAAATTGGTAGGAAAGGCTGAGACACGCTCTTGTCCTATATCCCACTCTAGGCACAATGATATACAATTAGGTTGGAACCCTGAACTCCCCACTTCTTCCTGAGAAGCAAAAGGTTTCAACAGCACAATTACTGGCGCTATTTTTAAAGTTCCCACCTGAGGGATAGGACCCCAAAACAACCAGCTCTGATAGCCACCAGAGTTCAGGCCCACAGAACTATAGCAAACAAAGAAATTGTTGATGCACAGGAATACTAACCACAGCTATCCCCGCAGGGCTCAGAACATATGAAGCAGTCAAAAAACATCCATTTCCTAGTCTTTCCCTGGAAAGAGTTTAACTGCATGTACTTTATAAGATGCTATCTGAGGGCACAGGGATTAAATAATACGTTTATAAGGGTGACTGTCAACCAAAAAGAATCAGTGGGCACATTCCCCACTTTCTCCCTCCAGCAAACTCCAACAATAAAACCAGGTCACTAGCATCTCTTTGGAAGGGACTTCTAAACATGCCTCATGCCCCAACTTTTGCATCTCTTACTTCCTAAGAGATGGGGCTCTGAATCACCTGTCTATGACTGCCAACCAGGCTTTCATGAGTCCCATGGGACTATAATAAACAAACAAGCAGGGTTTTTTTTAAAGGCCAAGGAGCACCCCCCACACACAGCTTTATATCCAGGCTCAATGCAGAGGAGTTGTAAGCTTTCACAGTTGTTGCCTGAGAGCCCAGCTTCTAATCAGCCTGCAACAAGGTGGTGACAATAATAATCCCATTTGGGACATTGATGGGTCACCTCACACACTCAACTACTGAGAGTCAGGAAGTACAAAGACAGTGTCTTGGACTATTACAAAGGTTTGAGGCAATCCTGAGTTCAGACTAGGCTGACTGACAAGATTCATCTCCTACACAAGATCAGTCTATAAAGACTGAAAGAGGTGGCTCTTTTAGCTAATGTGTGAAAACCAACACAAGAAGTCAAGCAAAATGAAGAAACAAGGAAATATGCTTTAAATAAAAGAAGATAAATCTCCAGAAACTGATAATGAAATGAAGATAACTGATTTACCTAATAGCTAAAAATAATGCTCATAAAGATGCTCAACGAGGGAGAGCATCTCATAAGAGGACTCTGCAAGTCTTATTAGACTCTTGGGGACTGTTGTTTGGGAACTGGAGGAAACGCTGAAAACCCCTGCTGGGGGCTGGGCAGGCAAAGGGCCCACCAGAATGTGTTCTGAATCGAACCCACTGGGCCCTGGCTGCTGAAACAGCCCAGACAGAAGAGGCAACAGGCTGAAATCAATCTGAAGCTGAAGCAGGACAGAGCCTGGGGGACTAGAATCAGAGGACAGGGGAGGGACTGAGGAGCAGAGACTAACTCCCGCAGAGTGAGCGCCTGACAGCGACACCTCTAATGAGAGTGATACCCTGGACTACAGTAGCCACCCTGTACCCTGAAGACTCTACAGAAGACTGTGGAGCAAGACCAGGCAACTACAACGTTGCAAAATAGCTGACAAGAAGAGGTGGCCCATGGAGAGCCTCAGATCAACCATCGACCTAAGGACACCAGAGCTAAACCTAGATGGCTCCTCACATTGGGTGATACACAAGTACCTCCCAGGAGAACTGAAATCACAAAAAACAGTGACCCGCAGACAACATAAGTTGCCCAGAAGAAACGCACCTCATTGACTACCTTTTTCTCTGCTGTTTTTTTGTTTGGTTTGGTTTTGGTTGTTTTTTTTTGTTTTGGGTTTTGTTTGTTTGTTTTTGGTTTGTGGGTTTGTTTATTTTTTCTCATTTTTCCTTAGGAAGAAGAGAAAGGGGAGAAAATTTGTTTTTTCTTCTTTTTTAAATATTATAAAAATCTTTTTTTTTTCTTTTTAAATTTTTTTTAAACATTTTTTTTTAATTTTTTTTTTTTTTTATAAAATAATTTTGTCTTGCTTAGCTTGTTTTTGGTTTAGTTTTCATTATTTGCTTTATTTTGTTTTATCCTTGCTTCTACTGTCAAGACATTCTTGATATCCCTGCTTAACGACTGGGACTTTATCATTATAACCAAGTTTACTGCTTTCCTCTATAGTTTCCACCAAATCTCTTACAAGACTCCCTGCCTGCCTGGGCTTTATCTCTCTCTCCTCTCAATCCATTGGCATAACTTTTTTCTTCTTTTTCTTCTTTCTTTTTCTACTTTTCTTTCATTCTTTCATTTTGCCCCCTTCAGCTTTCCTGTCCGAGTGTTAGTTTCTCTTATTCTCTTTATTGTATTTTTGTTTTCTCATTTTCAACTATTCTCCTATTCCTATTCTCTCCCATAATTTTGACCTGGCCCTTCTATCAGAATCTTTTCTCTACTTCTGTTATCTCCCAGTAGCTTCTCTATTTTTTATATTATAGTTTATTATTATTTTCTAAATTTTCACCAGTATGGGCTCCACTCGACCCACAAAACAAAATCCCACTCCACAAGACTGGGACACAGCAAATATATCTAATATATAGATATAAGCACTAAGACCTACCAAAATGGGGAGACAAAGAAACAACCCCCAAATTAAAGAAAAGGAAACA